ACTTACTTTGTAAAGTAATGGATTTTTGTTACCGTTACTTGTAACAGGTAACGGCTTTCCATTACCCGTTACTGGTAACAGGTAACGGATTATCGTTGCCGTTACTTGTAACAGGTAACGGATTTTCGTTGCCGTTACTTGTAACAGGTAACGGATTATCGTTACCGTTACTAGTAACTGGTAACGGAAAACTGTTACTTTTCAGAGTAAAGTAACGGAAAGTAACGGGAAAGTGCCACCCCTAATAGCTAGCGAATGCCTATTGGACGAATGAAAAAAATGTGCGAGCTCGTATTCTTATTTTGAACTGATAATAATAATAAAAGCTTATCCTCAAAATCTGAGCGTATAGAGAAGCAAAATAATTTTGCGTTTTACGGTTCTCCACACTGCTGCGGAAATGAACACCAGCAATGACCGATTTTATCTGTGTATTTGACTGCAGCCATTGTGGTATTCCTTCATACTCAATAACTTGTAATTGTGTACGGTTTTGTTAAAGAAATAAAGGTCAGAATAAAAGGAAAATAATTTAAGTGACTCAATTTTTGGTATAAGAAGTTTTCTTTAAATTGTAGTGATCGTTGCAATCTACGCTAGCTATCAAACTGATGAATCATCATATACACTCCACCGACTATTTTGACGTGAAGACATAAGGAGATCACATGTTATAATATGTTTAAAAATCTGACTATTCTTCGCCGTTCCTGTTCTACTAAGATCATCGCTCATTTCCATCTCTTTCTCGTATGTTCAACTATATGTAAATTTTATATACAAATAGCTGTGTTTTTCAAGTGTAGTATGTAACTAGTGAGATGATTGTTACTGAATAAAGTGAACAAGATAGAAAACTATCCAGTTTAGATTTGTCACTTCAGCTATCTTCAAACCTTTCCACTTTTCTCCCACAAAAACGTTTTTGGAAACGCTAAGAAATACATTTTCCTAACCATCTCGAATGTGCTCTATCCAACCGTGCATAAATGTTTGAAAAATAAAATTTGCTGTATTTTTAATTACTGGCACCTTAGTTAAATGTAAGTTCGGTTATTAAATTTAAGTTCGTGAAAAATTGATTGATTTCATGTTTTGATAGTTAAAGAGCAGAATGATATATAATGGGAGTTCTATTTGCCTACTTTCGTTCTCATGCAAAAAACCTATTTCTTTTTTCATTCCCTCAAACAAGTGACAAAGTTGTGCTTATAGAAGGTACTGACTCACTCACAGTTTGCACGCTAACTGACTTTTTATATATTTTTCAGTTTAAAAGTTTAGTGGTAAAGCAGGAGCCAAGGTGGAGTCTCAAAATGAGCCTTAGTATTCATCGAATCTTTATCGTCAGTAGTTCTAGTAGAACGTGTTTGCTCCTACAAATTATATACTTACGGTTATAAACTGGTATTTTAAGTTCCTTCATTAGGTAATTTGCTGTACTGGTTTCTATGGGTTTAATATCATTAATTTCGTCACTGCAAACACTACAGCACTTTGAACTTTCTGAAACAAAAGCGACAAGCCAAGATTCTTAATTTATCTGCTGCAAAGCAAAGAGTTTTGAAAAGTAAAAATGTTTACCAGTCGTTATTGATTCTTGCATTATGTCGTCGTTCAGTTCAGGATATAGGTTTTCAAGGAATGGTGGTGGTGGTTGATAACTACTGTACTCAGTTGAAAAAGCGCTTTGCAACGAAATGTTGGAAACATTTTGTTCTGAAAATATCGGAATTACATCATCAGTAGACGTGCAAAGCGAAAAATCGTACAGCGATTCTATTTCTCGAACAAAAATCATACAGAATTTATCAAATGAAGCATCGTAATCGATAACTTCGATACAGGTAGCCGGTAATAGAACAATTTCGTTTTGCGCTTGATAATAAGAATGTGATTTAATAGATTTACCGTTTATACATTCGATGGAAAATATTGTTCTTGTTTCACTTTGTCCAAGGTATTCATTAGAATCGAAAAGATCCACACATTCAGTACAAGAAGAAATGCCTAACCATGTGTATTGTTTGCCTATCTGATAGCGTTTACTTAAATTACCTTTAAAACCACGCCATACTTTTTGTTTCAGGATGGAAGTTTGTTTAAAGCCGTAAGTAGTAGTTTTAAGTATTCGTACCATGGTGTTAGCAAGTGTCGATCATCACTACGTAATGCGCTATTCAGGCCATCATGAAAGCTACCTTTGAGTGTTCCCCATTCTGATGCGTACAGATAAATTGCGGACGCTTCATTTTTAGTTAATCGATCCGAATCCTGACATGATTCAAAGTTCTCGTTTGCAATAAAAACTTTACTTGCTAGATCAGGATATAAATGTTCAATCGGTTGAATAGCCTGTTGGAGTGTCATTAGTGAAATATTCTGGTATCCTTCAATCTGACGGTTCCGAATCATTGACCTTGGTTCTTTATCAACATCGAGGAACCTAACATTAAGCTTTGTTCCGTTCGTATTCCTCATTTTAAAATGTTCAAATATCAAATCAAAAGAGAAATGACTGCCGCAACTACTTGTATTTCGATAGATATATCTGTTCGAGTTTTTTGTTTCGGTAGTTTAAAGTTATTCTGAGGAAGTCTAATATATTTTAAAAATAAGTGGACCATGAGCTTTCTTATTAGCTGTCGAATTCGTTTAAGTGCTGCCAAGAAAAGAGTAAAAACTTGAGTGATGACATCATAACTGTGCATTATGTCGTTTACCTGGAAAGCAGAACGAAAAAGATAATAAAAAAGGTTTTATTTGTTATTTACTTCTCACGGTCATTTCACCAACTCTGACACATTATTCTCTACTAAGCAAAAGATAAGAACGATAAAAGTATTATTCAAACACTATTAAGAAAAGTTCTCGCTTATAAGCTTTAGCAACATCTTCGTGTTTTCATCAAGCCCATTGCGATATAATTCATGACACAGAATTTCAAAAAGGAAAGTAAAAAGTTTTTTTCTTTAAACTTTCGCACTACGAAATTTATGAAACTTCGTGAAGAAATGCGATGATGGAATTAAACAAATATTACAATCAGAAAGAAAAAACAATTCAAGCACGAGAACTGTGGCTGTGAAGCGAACAAAAGGATAATCTTAGAATATCAGCAGTTGTCTGCTTCAGATTTTGAAGATCCGTTCGACTGAACAGTTCTTTCGATAATATGCTTATTTGACCTTTAACGCTAGAGATAATTCGCGAACTAGATGTACCTAATGGTTTATACGTAGGAAAAAGGGGTGATTACTAAGTGAATAAATGAAACTGAAACTATCATCGTGGCCAAATCAGTATATGAAATGTCTTCACGTAATATAATGTACCTCTGTATTAAACGTTAGCGTGCAAGGCAGAAAATTTCAGTTTTTTGTTTTAATAAATATGACATAAAAATATTTTTAAATGAAACTAGTATATTTTTTATGTATAATCGCCTCTGCACTGCCACTTCTAGATATAGATGGATTTATTTAATATAAGACAATTTATATTGCAGTTATAAAATAATATAAGCGACCCACTTGTTTTGAAGGTAAACAAATAGTTAAGTGAGCGCTAACTGTACAGAGGTTGCGGATAAAAATATCAGCAGATGTTTATCTCTTGAGTAGGGGTATAACAGTTCCATACCAACTCCTATAATAGGAACTGTTGAAAAGTTCTTTTGAAAATAGCTGATATGTTCGAGCAGCTCACTAATCGCCTAGACGAAGTTTAAACGTCCCGAATGTTCATATCAGCGAAGTCCTGCAATCATAAATAGAAGCATGTAAAATGGTCAATTTTTTATTCCTCAGATAAGTATGGTTAAAAAGTAAAATAAAAGAAGTATGATCTTTGTAAGAAAAGCAGACTAAAGAAAAGATTAAAGTTTATCTTTTAGGCGCGTTGAATATTTCAAGTTTTTAGCTGAGAGAGAAGACCGTGTTTTTCGAGCAACATAGTCTGCGATTGAGAATGCGCTCTCACTGGGGACTGAGATTGGGGGTATAGGACCGAATCGACATGCCATCTAGTTCAATATTGGAAATAAAGTTGAATGTTTTCTCCAGAATGACGCAAATGTATGACCGTTCTTCTTCAGTGCTTCGAGTTGAGCAAACTCTTGCTTCAGCGTGAAACCTTTAGCAGTAGTCGTTGAAAAAATTTCAAAAAATTTCAATTTTTAGAAATTCAAAAGAGCTGTTCAAACATATCAGCTCCTTTCAAAAGAACTGTTCAACAGCTCTTTCGCTCAAATGAGCTGAACTTATGAACTGAAACTGTTACAGGTCTACTCTTGAGGTTCGAGCTCAGAGGATTTTCAAATTAATACCCTACATTACAAGCTATTATTCACTAGAATTGAAGTTTTCTTGCGAATGATTTGTACTACAGGATGTTAATTTTCTGTTTTTCCACTTCCAGTTCCAGATACCAAGAGACTATGTGCATTTAGCTTTCTTTCCTATATTAGGAAAACAGCTAGTTCACAATACTGTGCTTTTACTCAACAAAAACCCCGATATTTCAGCAGCTTCAATTATCGTTCCTCAAATTCACCGACCCATATTTCAAGTACGAGGAAAAATTTCATATCCTACATCTTTAGTATCCGTACATCGTTCAGCATAACGTAAAATTTTTTCCGTTTTATATTTTCTTTTGCATTCTTCTTCCGATTCTAAACAAATGAAACAATAACTATAATCACAGTTCGTGCATTTGTGATATTTGCATAAACCACCATAAGCACCACCAATAAAACATTTTGGACAACATCGACGATTAGGCAGAGTTAGAGATGTATTAAATTTTGATAATGGCACTAATTCATATGTAATTTTCATTTCATAATCACAATTATTCTTGCATGTGTAGAGGGTATTTTGCATTAGCTTGTCATCCCAGTCTTTATTGCAGAAAAAACATAGTTTTCTGTTACAGTGTCGACAAATTTGTTGAGCATAATTCGTCTCGTTGATCATCATTGCTCCACATCGACAAATTTGACCATCAATATTATGAATGAACTGTTGTTTACTGACTAAGTCTGCTAGTAAATTTAAAAAACTAGGCGTTCGAAAAAATTCAATGTAGGATAAAGTTTTCCTACAGTCTGGATTCATACATTTCAATTTCAAATACTTTTTTTTAAAATATGTTAAAAAACAACTACTGCATACATCTTCACAGCAGAAACTGATGCATGGTATATCATCTAAACACATTATGCATTCAGACAGCCGTTTTGGAATATTATCTAATTCAATGAGCAATGGTTTTGTTATACTGTTCATGAGTTTTGAGATGTACGTTTCGTGAACTACGGTATCTGTGCCACCAGGTAGACGATCAAGAACAAAAATAACTTTTCCATTTGTTATTTGTTCTTTTTGTTGATTAAATGTTTGTTCATCATTCAACCGTAATTGTTTACCATCCATAACAAAGCGATGTCCTTCAATATCACCCAATTTTTCTGACAACATTTTTGTAAATTCATCCAGTGTAAAACTATCTGGTAACATTGCACTTGTTACTTTACCAACATTGTTTTGTAATGATATACTAATAACCATAGTTCACTAGTCGTATTATCTAAACAAAATTCAATCAATAGTTATCTTTTGTTTTTAGCGATTTTGGACAAAATAAACTAAGTTTAACGCGATTTTAGCGATACCTGGGGAAGATAAAATGAAGGAGAGAAAGAGAACTTTTTGTTGTTCTGTTTTTCCTCTAAAAGATTCAATATAATCATTTCTACGGGTCACTGTGAGAACACATAATATGATCATAAAGTAAATACACGATTTACATAGAGGAAAAAAGCGAATGCGTCATTTAATCAGTGGTTTTACTTTTATTCAAGTATTATGCTTTTACAAGATAAAATATTTGGACTTTTTTCACTTGATTTTTTCCAACATAAAATAAAATTTATTATCCTCACTCACTCGCAGAATGAGTGAGACAGAGCTGAAAGTGATTGAAAAAGTCTAAGTGGGGCGAAAGGTCGATTTGTTTAATTGTGCGTTTATTTGGCGACCTGGGGAAGATAAATTTGAAGGAGCGAAAGAAAACTTTTTGTTGTTCTGTTTTTCCTGTATCAGACTCAAAATAGTCATTTCTACGGGTCACTGTGAGAACACATAATATGATCATAAAGTAAATACACGATTTATATAGAGGAAAAAAGCGAATGCGTCATTTAATCAGTGGTTTTACTTTTATTCAAGTATCATGTTTTTACAAGATAAAATACTTGGACTTTTTTCACTTGGTTTTTTTCCAATATGAAATAAAAAATTTTTTCACCATTCAGTGTCAAGATGTTAATCCTTTGATGAAAGTGGAAAGCATAATATGTTCTTGTACTATTTCGTTGATTACTGCTACTTTCTACTATGTATATGACAGAAGTTAACGTGCAGGAGTATGAAGCTGATCTGATGAAAAGTTCGGGCAAAGAGTAGGAAGCCATATGCACTGATGTTCGGAAAGTTGTTGATAGTAATGATGGAGAGAAAAAAAAGACAGTTTCTGGTGTTGTTCTAACGTTACGAGTAAAGCTCCTGAAGTATTTTTTCCCTATCATTTTTTCCTCGCAACGTGCATGATTATAGATAGTTTTTGATGCTGCTATTCATTTGTTTCCATAGAGTTTTCTTGGATGGTTGTCTGGAAACCAGACATCCACTATGAACTTTCAGTCGATCACATTTGATAGTGGTGATTCGTAGAGCACGTCAAGTTCCCTATGTGGAAACATTTTCAAGACTAATGTACAAAGTTTTCGCAAGACATAAGATTTTAGGTTAAAAATACACTGAAAGATTTCAGTTCCCTACTGCACTAGAAAGTAAGAGTTTTATACCTCTGCGAAAACTTGTTCATTTGTCTTGAAAATGTTTCCACATAGGGAACTTGACGTGCTTCACCATTCACTGCTGTCAAATGTGGTCGACTGAAAGTTCATAGTGGGTGTCTGGTTTCCAGACAATCATCCAAGATACCTCTATGGGAACAAATGAATATCAGCAACATCAAAAGTTATCTATAATCATGCACGTTTCGAGAAAAAAGTGATCGGATGCTTCGAGAAGTTTCCTAGTTTGAGGGTGATAGAATACCTGCCTAGGAAAAAAGCTATTTGGATTATACGCTTAAAATATAAAGTAAATCCTAGCGCACGAACTTCAACAAAAAAGTTCACTATGTAGTCCACAATGTTCTAGAACTTTACAAGGTTTTTAATTAAAATTAAGAAAATCTTTTGCATTAACTTTGTCTAGCGCATTTTTCCGAGAACACTTTATCTGATTGTTTTCCTGGACCATGGTGCCGTTTTAGACGTATTTTTCCTAACAATCATTAGGATAACAGATAAGACTGGGCTAACATTTTCAATACGAGCTCCTAATAGTACGAAAAAACTTTTCTCCCAATAGTGGCACGCAGGAATACAAGAAGGCTTAGATTTACTGGATAGACCGCTACCAGCGGTCTTTATAAACCTCTTTAGTTTCCGTTTTTTGTTTTCCAATACAATTATCGATGGAACACTCTGAAAAGAGAAATTTTCATAATTTGGTAATGGCTTTTGTAAGTAATAAAAGAAAATAAGAGCGAGAAATAACTGAAATAGGAGGAACCTAGTGGTCACTATTCTAATGCTATCGCTATTACATATGACGCGTCAACCTGTCTTTGACGGTTCCTAAACGAGATCTCTAATCGGTTTGTCTGCATACTTCAAAAGTTTGCGCTACTACAGTTACCGAATTTATCTCTGATTCGTCCAAACATCAAAGTTTATTTCGTATGAATTTTCTATTAGCCAAGATAACCCTTGAGTTTTCACTATGTATTTCCGTATCAAAACCCTTTGCCAGATAGAAACATAAAACCATACTTATTATTTTCATTAATGGAATTATATCAGTTGATCCAACTTTCGTAGAGTATCGATCAAACGTTCGATTTAGATTATTTATTTTTCATAGGCATAAAAACACAATTCGAAAAACAGTTATTAAAATTCGTGGTTGTTATTCGTTCCGTCCCTTCGTTCGACATCTGCTTTGATAGCTAATATATTCAACGATTCTGTTACTACAAGACTGATGTTTTATAAAGGTCCGGCAGAAAGAATAACCTTTAATCAAATCGTGTTTAGAATGTTTGATAATTTGGTGTATCTTTCAAATAAATGAGTACATAAGCATTTTGATTAACAATTTGTTGTTCAATATCACCGGTCACATGAGAAACTCTTGTGTCATCAAAATGATACCATTGATGATTTTTAAAATTTTTTGCATAAGTTGTATAGTGTCCACCACGTATTGATCCTAAATGATTTGAAACGGCAATTAAATTGTATCTTGTCGACTGTTGACTGTTTTGAACATAATCTTTTAAATCAAAATTTTCCATTGGATATTTGATGAATGATGTATTCTTACAACGTCTATTATCATCATTATAAATAAAACGCTTTAATTGAATAATGAGTACAGGTGGCAATGAGACGAGATCTATCTTTTTAGTTCCTTCTGATTTCTTTTGACATTTTTGACAATACCAATCACCATCAATAACTTCGGGAAATAGAAAATCTTTTAGACAATCGTGGATATTTGATATTGTCGCCGTTTTCAGCGATTGTTTTACCGAGAATTTCGGGTAATTCATTGGCTGTTTTACTTCATAGAAGGTAATGTCATGTTCACTTATCGTACTTAACGGTTTGTCTAATGGAAGATGATGAGGATTCGATGTATTAGTTACTCGTAGATGATCAAATAGGGGAAATATAAAATCTATCGACTTTTCAATAGGGGAGTATCGTTCCAAAATAAATCCCACCATTAAGTCCGATACTGTTCCGCTTATAGATATTTCAACGCAGGTTTGAGTTATCTCGCTACTATTCGAAGAAACATGGGTAATAACGATGAAGCGTGTACGTCTTTTCAGTGATAACGGTAAGAAACAGATTAAATTAGGTGTGCATTCAGTTGTTAGGCAAGTGAAACATTTGGCGACCATATTAATTTGTCCATGGAACAATCGAGCCACTACTGTATCGCCGCCTAACTTTTCTACGTCTTCATGTAATGAATCGATTAAAAAGCTCATGAACTCATGTGCATCTTGCTGGGAATAGCCGGAAAAATGTGGTGCGTAACGGCTGATACTTTCTTTTATTTTATTGGGTGAAAACGATGCACAATTGTCCAGATTGCACCACATATAATAGATGAAAGCGGCATATGAACCTGCAACCTCACCGTATTTCTCAAATGGATTTGTACCCTTTGGCGCAGCAGTTATTTTCTCGATGAAGTAATTTGTCAATTGTGGCACATTACTTAAACATTGTAGAGCACTGTTCATAAAACAACTATTTCCAATATTATTCAAGCCACGTTGACCAAGGTTCGCTTTTGTCTGATGTTGTTCTCGACTCTTCTGCTGATTTTGAGGGATAATTGAATTTTCTTTGTATTCGAATCGAAGGGCATTGCTTTGTTTCAAAGAAGAAGGAGTGATTGTTTCCTTTACTGGTCCATACTGTTTATTTTCATCAGTTACAAACAAAGATGATGGGTTTAGACCTATTTGATACAAAGCAATCGCTTTTTCTGATTTCTCGTTGCTTTGACCAATCAATGGCTGAACGATTTCAGGAGCCGGTGTATCTATTGATGAAGAACTATCATGCATTTTATTCCTTTTGAGGGACACTCTAAAGAGTAAGTTGTCAGTGAATATGTTTGACATTGAAATTGTGGGAGCCATATGATGCACAGCCTCTATTGTTTTTTTTCTCATAACTGTGATGATTGCATTCGGCTCCAAACTGACTTCTTTTATTGTTGCATCAGACCAATCTATAGGGAATATTTTCCACATTTGTGCTCTGTACACATAGAAACATGTATCATCTACTGACAAACATAATCTCAAATTTTTTACACAAAATATTTTTAAGTCTAATATTGTACGCTGAGAATCTATAATACGCGTAATCAGTTTGCGCATATTGAAGTCAGCACAAATTCGAAACTGGTGATATTCCTTATTTCGACTTTCAATCTGTTTTTCGACATATTGTTGAGCGCCTTGGACATAGTCTTCCGGTGTGTTTTCTAAACAAAGAAATGTGTTAAATGAATTATTTTGCTAATAAATATATGACTTTTCCTTTACCTATGATTGATTCTGATTGATCATTTTCAACTGGTGTCATTTCCGCATCATCACCATCGCTACCGAACACTCCTAGTAGAAGAAAATCCGTTTTCTCATATTGCCTTTTCAATTTCTTATTTATCAAATGTCAAGAGTGCACGATCATTCAGGGGAACAAATCGAGAGCAAAGACTTTTGTCCTGATAATTATACGGATTACAAATGGGCTGTTTAATAATAAAATATGATAATTCGAATTTCATCTTTTTCTGACAGTAGTTATGGCTTACCTTGTTCATTGTATGAATGATGCGACGATCTATTCTGATGAATTGGACTTGCAATATTATCGAAATGAACTGATTTCTGTTTTTTATTGGATACGTCATACTTCGCACTTCTCGATGAACACCAATTTCCTAAATTGAAGAGCTATATTCAAAATAAATCCAGCGATATTTCTACAAGCCTTGAGTAGAATATTACTGTAATTTATACAGGCTGGTTGATACAAGCTTTCCTCTGCTAGTTACTTAAAATATGTTGCTCCTTGTCAACTCAGACACAGGTAACTTTCCTGCTAAATTCAGCTACTACTTTACTTTAAAAGTTTAACTCCAATATAGCGGGTTACAACTCTAATTTCATTAAAAAAAAATTTTTTATATCGTTCTGGTGCACGCTCAGTTACACAGATCATTTTATTTCCAATAATTTGTCTAAGTCTCAACGTCTAAAGGCTATTGTTGTTTTTCTGCTACGTACCTCAAACTATCTTACTGACTTGGGCCTCAGGATTATCTCAAAGTTTTAGCAGCTTTGTGTTGAACGACATCTAAATTGCGCAAGATCTGTTGGAGTGTATAACTAAGACAATTTTACAGAAAAATCTTGTTTTTTGTTGAATTATTTTGAAAACCCACTGTTAATTTCTGAGACAAGTTATCCGTAAGAAGGAAACTTATTAGGACAAATCTGATGCAAATAGTAACAGCGATTTGTTCAAAACAAGATTGTTCCAGACGAAAAGAATGGAGCCGTTTAGCTCTTTTCCAGTTCAATACCCTCTTCCACTGCAAAAATCTTATTCTATATTCTAAGATAAGGAAGTGTTGAAGTGGTAAAAGTTTCAAACTGGATGTATGAAACTTGAAAAAATTTAGCCTCAACTCGAATACAGACTGAAAAAGAAGTTTGGAATCATGCTTGCACGAATAAGGATACTTAGAATTCTCACCCATTTTGCGCTTTCTTGAGATACTCATATAATAACAAATGCCTTGACTCTGGAAGAAATCAAATACGATCTTTATAGCGTTCGTCGAATAAAGTTTGACGTACGCTATAGTGACAAACAAGTTTTATATTCTATCATTTATAGTTGTGTTAGCCCCATGGGAAAATCATTAACCCCCTGTTAACACAAATAATTGGTTAAGATCTAAAATCCACTGTCAAGTACACAGTTCATATGTTTTCACGTTGTTGAGAGCTAGTTAAAAAAGGTAAAAAGAACGTTCAGATTTATATAATCAACAAAAATAAAATAAAAAAAATAAAAACGAGAGAAATACAAATGAGAAAAATAAAATAGACTACCAAAGAAACGAACGGAACATAACTTGCGCAATTTTCTATGGTTCTGACTAATTCAGTTTTTGAATAAATTCTTGATAATACGAAAAGACTCATATCATAATACTGTGCAGAAAAACAGGTGAAAAAACAAAAGCATGTTGCGACCTTGACTTACATTTTTCCAACATAAGATTACGATATATAAATTTCATGAAAAGGTGTCTCTCCAGCCAATAAATAAAGATATTGTGAAAACTCTAGTTTACTGCTTATAAAATACTGTTAATTTTGAGAAAAAATATGTTCTTCTGTTTTAGCTCGAGTCCGGCCCAACTTGAGAAACTATTTTTTGGACAATAAACGTATTTAGAAAATCTTTGCTACAAAAAGACCACATTAAGAGGGATCCAAGAAAAAAATTTTTTTTACTAGAAATTCCCCAACATTAAACAGCAACACAGTGTTCGACTCAGCTTTTGTCAGACTTTTTGTCAGCTTTTGACTAAATTATACCGACTTCTTAGTGTACAAAACTTCAGCTTTCTAGCCGAGTTTTACTCTTGATTTCACCTTTGTAAAAAATATTTATTGCAGCCCATTTCAAATTCTGCCGTTAGGTTCATTTTGTGGAGAATTAAATGCTCTTTAAAGTGCGATTGCTTTGTGATGAATCCTCTTATAGATAATGTGAAAAAGTAAGAATTGTTCACAGAGTCAAAAATTAAAATGCTAAAAGGAACGGGAAAAAATTGAAGTTTCCTTCGTCAAATAATAACATTTTAAAGATCAAAACTGTTGATTCAGGTTGTTATACTCTTCGAATGAGACGTAGCTCGAACAAAAAGTTTCGTCATTTTTGGATGATTTGAACATTTCTGCATCTCTCTAGCAAAAAAACATCCGCGATCCAAACACTGTAAAAAATAAAGTGTGTCTGTAGCACGTTGGACTGTTTTTGCACACTGAAAACGGCTTGCTCAGTGTGCCTGTAACACACTGAAATTGCACATATAGCGTCCATAGACAGAAAGAGAAAAAAGATCAAAGAGAAAAATAATACTTTCGCTTTTTTTCCATAGGAAAACGCAAGACAAAAATTCCGATCACATACACATACATTTTGGACTCGAAATGCACACCAGCGGGCACACTTCATTTTTTATATTGAGGAGCTAAACCTCATCAGGAGGTTGTGCAACCTGATCTAGATCCAGATCCAGAATCTGTGAGACTTTAGGTTTCAGAGCCTGATGTTATAGTCGATGACACAAGAACGAACTCTTCACAAATCCATTTTTCTTTTTGATAAGAACAAGTTCAAACCATACTTTTTCAATTTTTCAATTGTCCCTCTATATAATTTGACATGGAATGCTAGGGATATTTGTTTCATCCCAAGTACTGCGCAACCAGAATGGAAAAAACACGTGTTATGCTTGGACGCTTTTTTAATGGATAGTCAGTAAAAATTTGACGCAAAATGTTAACTTCATAACCAAAGAAGTGAAATTTCGGCCCTAACGTTTGTATATAAAATTGGAAATAGAATAGTTCAGTGGGTTTTCTGTTGCTATGATATTTAACTCATTTACCTGCGCTGTTAGTAATAGATTCCAACTTAAATTCTTCATCAACTGCTGTCATGTCTACATTATGAGCATCGTTTGTAGAGGGAATTTCTATAAATAGATTGGTTATAGATCATGAAAAGAAAGAATAGTTTTTACAGCTTTAATACTAATCTTAATTCAGCCTCACCTTCGGCTTTACTTTTCTCTTGTAATGGATCAGGCTCGGGAGGACAATAACTAGGCAGATTATTGTCTTGATCATTGATAGTTGTGTCTGACTCGCACATATTGACATCATTCGGATCGTCATAGGGCGGTTCCACATTTTCGGTTACTTTTGCTTGCTCCGGAATTTTATATGTGTACAGAATTGTAGAATTTTCTGGCATTTTTAAATTGTGCATAGACTGATCAAAGTTGGTCTCAATAATGTTGCACCATTCATCATTTTTCTGATAGCCGACTGAAACTAACGTAAATTCGTCAAAAGCTGGATCAGAGTTTTTAAAGTATTGTTTCTCCAGATTTAATATACTTTCTTTTGTATTTACAGACAGTTGTACATTATCTTTTAATTCATTGCCACACCTGAAGCTTAACTTTAGCATTATTTTGTTCATTTCAGTAGATGGTGGATTAACGTGTTTAGATACATGCTCAATCGTTGAGTTGATAATCGAGCATGAATTAGGACCTCGGTCAACTCCTCGCACATCGTAAAAATCCCATTTATTATTCGGACTCTCCATCGTGTCTTTATCAGGATATATTTTCTTGAGATCAACGGTCACCTGTTTTCTGCATTTAGAACAGATGCGTTCCCCTAGATCAAAACCAAAAAAAATTATACAGTACAACTGAGTACAATACAGTTAATAAATATGAAAGAAATCGAGAGCAGCCGCTAATAGGAAGGAGCAGGTTTCCTTTCTTGTAGGTCTGTCTACATAGAATTCTTGCAGTAAAGATTTGAGTTTGCCTATTATATAGAGCATCAAACACTTAAGGTCTCTTTGCTGTTTTTTGGGAAAATTGTGTAGAACTTGATTTACTAGATGAGGACAGTTTTTTAAAGTCAAGCATGCATCTAAACACTATTAGAAAATAAGCAGTTACAAATTTCTACTATTTAAAATGCGAGCAGAGTGAAACAAAGCTAATAAGTTCAAAACATAAATTAATAATGTTGCTGTAACTCACAATGGTGAAAATTGATTTTGTATTGAACCGAAATAAATTCGGCTACAATGGGGAATGCATATAGGAGGTCCCATGTGGTTTTGATTTGATTACACATATTACATTCGAAAGACATTTTGACTTTTTCGTAGACAAATCTTGAACAGCAGTGCCAAAGCTAAAAATCGATTCTGCACAGCTGATAGAAAATTTGCGCATAAGAAAATGGCGTATTTCCGTTGAAGAATAAACTTTTAGGATAATGAAACAGATATCATCTCCTACAATAAACCATGTATTTGTGTAGTCTACTCTTTGCACCTTCACTCAGAGCAAAAGGAAGATTGATTACAAAAAGATGAAACCGTCTTTTGCGACAATGTTGGTTTCATAATTAACATGTATAGGAGATGATAACTGTTTCATTCTCTCAAAAAAATTTCCGTCTCGTGCTGTTAGTACGGAGAAGAAAAATATTTGTCTTGTTCTATTACGCATAGACCTAATCACAAATAGCTTTTCAATACGGCCAGTATTCAAGCATCTTGACGATCAACATTAGCGACCTTTTCAGGAGGTGCACAGGGCTCAGTGATTTAGTAGACGGATATTGTTTTTAGTGACGTTATACAGATGACACAAGAGATTAGTTGAAAAAACTCAAATATATTGTTTGTTCTATGCTTGCAACATCTTTTGACTCATTGATGAAAATTCAATGAAAACATTCATTACTCATAAAAAAGTAAAACGGCCAAAGTTGTTTTCTTTTCTTTTATGCTCTTATAGCCATCAAATGAGGTATGTGGAAAAAAAATGATAGAGAAAAGAGAAAAGTTTTTGATAAGATATGTCAATAGTGTCAAGTTAACAACTTCAATCCTAGAAATTGGTGTTTTTGCGTTTTTATGTTTGTCCTTCAGGTATGTCTAATCACAAAAGCTTTTTAATTAAAATAGTCCACTTAAAAGAACGAAGTAACTCTGCTAACGATGAATTGGATGAGAGATAGATATGTCTACTAGAGATATCTATCTATCATCCAATTCAGCAGCAGAAATCTATCGGAATTACGATAGATTTAAACTGCCGACCCTACCGATTTTATTTTATTTATAAAATTCAGTCTTAATTTCTTGTTCGATAAGAGAAAATTAATATTATGAATAAGGGCCTCAGATACATATAGAAGATGTACCTATCCAAAATCAATTTTTGTTATATTTTCTTCAGCTCTTAATGATGCTTACAGTTTCAAACTAGATAACGTTCCATAATATTATACTAGTTTAATTCAGTGCCAAAAATACTCAGAAAAGAGCAAGGAATCGACAATATAGTCTTTGCACTGGTGCGCTTCAATGCACAGTTCATTACAGCTATAAAATCATAGTAAAATACAATAACACACTCACTCAGCACCCGCACACAACCTATAGAAGAAAAACGAAGTAATAAAGAGCGAAGAAAAAAAAAGAGAAAAGAATAAATTAATAATAACAGCCATCATGTAAACATAGATGATATAAAAACGCTCGCATTCGCAGTTTTCAAAAAGATGATTTAAAACCATCTTTCCGCTATAGTTAGTATCGAATCTGCTATAGTTCGAAACATAGTAGAATTCAGACGACAATTAAATGAGAAATGGTTTACAGTCTCTTTTTGCAATCATAATTTTTATTATCGACTAATTTTTTGTAAACAAATCGTTATTTAGGGATGAACATCTAAATTGAAAAACAATCTTTCATAGTTTCCTGTCACATCGTATAACCTAAAAATATCTGAAGTGCTTTAGTAAATTAATCTTTGTGAAATGGTTTCAGTCTTGTACATCAGCTCATTTCAAGGGTAAGGTTGTTGCATTTTTTTATGACATGAGGAAAACAAGATGTTTAAAAAACGTTTCAACTCAAATGTTTTTCGATGTGAAACTGGAGCCGACGCAATCCAGTTTGGAACTAGTATCCATACCAAAATACAGTGCAGGGTGCCACTTTTTGAATAACTTTTGATAGGAATGAGATAGAGATCTGCGATTTTCGCTGTTCAATAGCCAAGACTTGAGCAGAACTTTTCACAAGCAGAAGCAACTTTTGAAAAAATTCCAGAGACCGGATTTCCAGAGGATCTTTGAAAAATCGGCTTCGTTCTCAGAAAACTAAAATACAATGTTAGTAACTTTTTTGCATGCGTAGATAGTCCGGACGTTA